GTTTGATGCGGTTATAGACTATAAAAGGTGAACAATGCACGGGAATCAATCCGCGGATTTTAGCGAGAACGGGGAAGAAGAGATTATCAGACAGTTATGTGCAAATGGGATTTGCATGAAAACAACTGAAGTTGAAGCAAAGCTTGATGAAGGAAATATCCAAGAAGCTGAATCTTCTTTGAGAGAAGGATTATCTCTCAATTTCGAGGTTTGTTTGTGGTTTTTTCCAAACTCTATGAATCCAATAAGAAATGATTTGTCTCTCGATTTACGCATGTTTTTATGGTTTTAGGAAGCAAGAGCACTTCTTGGAAAATTGGAATACCAAAGAGGGAATTTAGAAGGCGCACTTCGTGTCTTTGAAGGTATTGATCTTCAAGCAGCGATCCAACGGTTACAAGTTCCTGTGCCGCCAGAGAAACCGGCTACTAAGAAAAACCGTCCCCGTGAACCGCAGCAATCTGTTTCCCAGCATGCTGCTAGCTTGGTGCTTGAAGCTATCTACTTGAAAGCCAAATCCCTCCAAATACTTGGGAGAATAACCGGTAAAGTTCCCTTTTACGTTTGAGGCCTTGGTTTACTTTTACTTTTACATGTTATAACGGCGTGAAAATGTGAAGCAATATGAGGCCTTGATCTTGGTACAATCTTTAAATATGAATCTTTGCTTGCTGTTTTTTTTTGTTGCAGAGGCTGCGCGCGAATGCAAAAGCGTTCTTGATTCTGTTGAGAAAATATTCCAGCAAGGGATACCGGATGCTCAAGTGGATAGCAAACTTCAGGAAACCGTTAGCCATGCCGTGGAATTACTTCCGGCGCTATGGAAAGAATCTGGTGATTATCAAGAAGCAATATCCGCTTATAGACGTGCGCTCTTAAGCCAATGGAATCTCGATAATGACTCTTGTGCAAGGATTCAGAAAGATTTTGCAGTCTTTCTTCTACATTCTGGAGTCGAAGCGAGTCCACCGAGTTTAGGTTCTCAAATCGAGGGCTCGTACATACCTAGAAACAACTTAGAAGAAGCCATTCTTCTTCTGTTGATTCTTTTAAAGAAATTCAACCTCGGTAAAGCAAAATGGGATCCGTCTGTGATTGAACACCTTACATTTGCGTTATCTTTATGTAGTCAGACTTCGGTTCTCGCTAAGCAGCTCGAAGAAGTAATGCCTGGTGTGTTTAGCCGTGTTGAGCGTTGGAACAATTTGGCTCTTTCTTATAGTGCAGCGGGTCAAAGCAGTGCTGCAGTTAACCTTCTTAGAAAGTCTCTGCATAAACACGAACAACCCGATGATCTTGTGGCACTTTTGTTAGCTGCTAAGCTTTGCAGTGAAGAGCCTAGTTTAGCTGCAGATGGTGCAGGTTACGCGCACAGAGCTATAAATAATGCTCAAGGGATGGATGAGCATTTGAAAGGCGTTGGTTTGAGGATGTTAGGACTTTGTTTAGGGAAACAAGCAAAACTTCCCACATCGGATTTCGAAAGATCTCGGCTTCAATCAGAATCATTGAAAGCATTAGATGGAGCTATAGCTTTTGAGCACAACAATCCTGATTTGATCTTTGAGTTAGGTGTTCAATACGCTGAGCAACGGAACTTAAAGGCTGCATCCCGTTACGCCAAAGAGTTCATCGATGCAACTGGAGGGTCGGTGTTAAAAGGCTGGAGATTTCTCTCGCTTGTTTTGTCGGCTCAACAACGGTTTTCAGAAGCTGAGGTTGTGATCGATGCTGCTTTAGATGAAACCGCAAAGTGGGATCAAGGACCTCTTTTGAGAATTAAAGCAAAGCTGAAAATCTCTCAGTCAAATCCAACAGAAGCCGTTGAGACTTACCGTTACCTTCTTGCGTTGGTTCAAGCGCAAAGGAAATCTTTCGGACCGCTCAGAACTCTTTCTCAGGTTTGTTTCTTAATCTATTGAGATGATCAAAACCTTCTTTGTATCTTAATCCTTTTACAAATAATACAGATGGAGGAAGACAAAGTGAATGAGTTTGAAGTGTGGCATGGTTTAGCTTATCTTTACTCAAGCCTTGCGCATTGGAACGACGTAGAAGTCTGTCTAAAAAAAGCCGGCGAACTGAAACAATACTCTGCTTCAATGCTGCATACAGAAGGCAAGCACAAGAATCCATTTTCAACTAATCTCTTAAAAATGTCTTTCTTAATTTCGGTTTCAATCATTGGTATGATCAGGTCGAATGTGGGAAGGACGAAAAGAGTTTAAAGCCGCTTTAGCGGCTTTCTTGGACGGTTTATTACTAGAAGAATCATCGGTTCCTTGCAAAGTAGCGGTCGGAGCATTGTTGTCCGAAAGAGGGAAAGATCATCAGCCAACACTTCCTGTAGCAAGAAGCTTGCTTTCTGATGCATTGAGGATCGATCCGACAAACCGAAAAGCTTGGTATTACTTAGGAATGGTTCATAAGCACGATGGACGTATAGCTGATGCTACTGACTGTTTCCAAGCTGCTTCCATGCTTGAAGAATCTGATCCTATCGAAAGCTTCTCAACCATTCTTTAAAATCCCAAAACCATCATAAAGATTTATATATTTTTCTTTTTCTTTTTCTGACACCATAAATATTTTACGTTCATTTTTTCTTTCATCATCTTCTCATGTACAATTTTAACCTCTTAATTTCTTCAAACTACATATACGGTTCTTTTAGTTTTTGTGTTTGTAAATGAATATGAATTTGGATCGAATTCAAGAATACAAGCTTAAAAACTGTAAATTCGAACATAAAAACCGCAATCCTAACACGATTTCACCGCATCAAACTCAAGTTCTACAATGTAAGCCTAAATTAGCGATATTCGACTAGAAAAAAAAAACCCGCAATTCTAACATATAAGATCATCGATTCCGCGATTCTACAATTCCGAAACCAAAATCCAGAGATTCATACACAAAATTAAACCACAAGTCAAACGAAAATGCAGACAAACAAAAGCGAATTCTCACTCTGTCTCTACTAGTTCTTTGGAATATTAACTCCAACAATCTTAGCAGGAGTAATACGAAGAAGATTCCCAGGCTTACCAGGCAAAGCTCCTTTGATCATGACAACATTCAAATCTTTATCAACTTTAACAATCTTAAGCTTCCTTATCTTAGTCTTAGTCCCTCCCATTCTTCCAGGCATTTTCTTCCCTTTATAAACCCTTCCCGGAGTAGTCCCCGCACCGATCGAACCCAAAGCTCGATGACTCTTCGAACCATGAGTCATCTGACCTCTCTTAAAATGATGCCTTTTGATCCCTCCTTGAAACCCTTTACCAATCGTAGTTCCTGCAACATCAACAAGATCTCCTTCTTTGAAAATCTCATCGAAGACGAGTTTCTGATTCGTTTCGAATCCTTCCACGTTTGTTAACCGGAATTCTTGTAGATGCCTCAACGGAATCACTCCGGCTTTCTGGAGGTGACCGGTTTCCGGTTTGGTTAACTTCTTGTCTCTGACTCGACGGTAACCGATCTGTACCGCGTCGTAACCGTCGGTGGCTAAGGTTTTGACCTGAGTCACGATATTGCCTTCACGGAAACCGACGACGGTTACCGGAACGACTGTACCGTCGGCTTCGAAGAAGCTCATCATCCCCAGCTTCGAGCCCATGACGCCGATTCCAGCTTCCATTGATGAGACGACGAGAGATCGTTTGGAATTGGGGGAAGATTTTGTGAGAAGAGAAGAGGGTTTTGGTGTGAGGAAAGTTGGAGTGAAGAGTGAGGAAGAAGAAGAAGATAAGGTTGTTTTGTTGAGTAGAGATGGGAAAGAAACAACCGCCATAGCCATCGCCATTGTTGGAGAGGATTTCACAGTGAAGAAGAAGAAAGTCTCGAGAGGATATAACTCTGTGTCACTCTTATCTTCTTCTTCGAGACAACCTAAAAAATCGATTTTTTAATTTGGGGATTTGATGAAAAGTTATTTATCATTATACCCCTCAAGATACTCATAATTATGATAACCACCGCTTATGTTTCTTTTCATTGCCAATTTAACCTCTTTATTTCTTCAAATGGTTTTTAGATTAGTGTGAGAAAAGAAAATTCTTGAAACCTCAAAGATGATTGTCATATAAATATAATAATATATATTACAAGGATATAATGTTCGATTTATTGAATAAAACACTGAGAAAATAGTCTGAAAATACGATCCAATACGAGAATTATTACTGTTTTTCCCAACAAGATAAATCACTTCAGGTTCTGTCTAGTAAACGATCTTTGGTGATAATGGTGGATTTAGAGACGAGAGATAAGAAGCGGAACAGCGGCAGGTCCTTCTTCACCCATCACAGGCTGAAACAGATCCAACTCGCCATACCGCTCCAAGACTCGCATTCTGCAATCTTCGGCAGCCATCAATCCGGTTGAATAAGCGCCGTGAACCGAGCCGGGGAAACTCGAGCTTGTAGCTTCACCGGCGAAGAATAAGTTATCCACTGGAACTCTAAGCCTCTCGTAGAGATCATGAGGTTTGCCCACGATATCGTAGCTATAAGATCCCAATGAATTCACATCCGAACCCCACCGAGACACTAGATACTGTAACGGAGGCAATGCATTGGGAAGAATTCTCTGGAGTTGCAAGACGGCGAAATTAGCAGCTGCTTCATCAGACATTTTCTCAATGTCTTTGGCGAGCTGACCAGCCGGCATGTAAACCAGAACGGGATGACCCGTGGCCTTGTGCAGGTTCAAAAAATAACTGCAACCGTAGGAGGTTTCCGCAACCACTCCTAGAAACTCTACTTTTGGCCAGAAGACTTTTTCAAAATGCAGTAAGATCTTGTTCTCGATTCCTACTCCGAGGTCGTTGATAGCTTCTTGTTTCCACTCTGGTAGCTTTGGTTCAAATTTTATCGTTCCAGATTTCAAAACTCCAAGAGGAACAGCGATCACTGCAGCGTCCGCAACAAACGTTTGTCCGTTTTCTGTTGTTACCTTCACTCCATTATACCTCCTTACAATCTTAGTAACCCTAACAAGCAAAATAAAAGACAAAAATTAATGACTACCAAAACCAGATAAAACTGCCAAAGCTCTAGAAAAAAGCAAAACTTACCTATGGCTTACGCGAATATCAAGCCCTTTGGCCAAAGTATTGATGACAGGACGATACCCTCTCACCATAAGACCGTGTCCACCAGGCAGCAACTCCTCCTGCACATATTTTGGAATGTTAAACAGGCAATCTAGAAACGGTGTACACTGATAAAACCGTTAACTCCAATGAGGAAAAATGTAACCAACCTGGTCCCAACACTTTGCAGAGATGGTTTCAGCATCGGCGGCAAACCATCCTTCCATACGGCATAAGTACCACTGAAGTACATTGTGTGCAAGCCCCTCTAACCTGGATGTGAAAATTTTGAATTCGATATGAAACCAAGCTTTAAAAAGTGCACTGACAGATACAAAATTAAGAAGTTGGACATTTATGTATACAAACCTCAATTCAGGTTTCCTCGAAAATACAATTGAAAAAGCCTGAGATATTGACATGTCTTCATCCTCCTCATCCCTGACTTTATTGATCTGCATATGCGAAAGAAGGATCTAATTAAGACGAGCAT